AGAACATTTAATTAAACTAACTTAAATCCAAAAAATTAAATAAAAATAAATTAATAACTAGAATTTAATTTCTCCTAAATAGTTTCTTCTAATGAAAACTCACTATACGGAAAATCATGATCTAAGTTAGCAGATTAAACCAAAAGTCATTGACTAACCTTACAGAACGCATGTTTTTTTACGTATGAACATTTCGTTTCTAATCGTTCTCTGATTTTGAGCTACAAACTTTCTCGCAGCTTCCACATAATTGCGGCCACTCAAGAAAGAAAAAAATTTATACACATACCTATTATTACTACCTATAATCCAACTTTCAATGTGTATATTCGCTTTGATATGAATCAAGCACATTTTTTAAAAGCTCGGGACGTGTTTCACATATTACACAATAATTTTCACAGCATACACCAATCATTTAGATACCTTGCGGCAAGGCTTCAAACACACAATGCGCATGGTATCAGGTAAAACCATTCGCTTATAATGGTTGTAAATCGGAGGCACTCCGTCATGGACTTTCAAATGCGATAACGCGTGACTTCCACGGTGAGTCAGATGAGGAAGCATGCCTGTAATTTTAACGAATAACTTCTTTCAACGATACCAGCAACAACTGACCTCTCACTGTCCGCCAAAAAATTTTTCTCGGTGCTCTGTAATGAAACGGTCCTCTCTTCGGATTGATGTTGCACCGTTTGCGGAGAAAACTCAGATACTTCACTGGAATAAGACACCTTTGAAATTTATCAAAACGAACATATTTATTTATTTTCGTCTTACACTTATTCCGATAAAACGGGCCGGAAATGTTGATTTCCTCGCATCGAACGACGACTATTTTCTCTCCTAAAATGTATAAATTAAAACCTAATTAAGGAAATAACCAAAAATGAACCAGATAAAAATAATTTTAAATAACTGACATGACAGCGAATAACAACTGTATCTTTAAGAAGAGTAAAAATTATAGAAGAACGTCTATCAATAGAAAAACGTTTAAATAACATAAGAGCCACCGATTTACGTATGAACCCGTACGCATACCAATGTAAGATGCTCACCTGAATCTTAGTAGTAATATAATTACAGTAATCAAAATTTTTGCCCCCTCCCCCAAAGTGGACTTTCAAGTTACAAATATCCAAAATTACATATAATATTGATACCTCGACAGTTTATTCTTAGGTGACAACGGGACTAGTTAAGTAGGAGGTTCGGGATCATTCTGCTCCAAAACGTTTGGCTCATAGATGCACCTTGCGCATTTTCAGCGATGTGTCGCGAGCCAAGAGTGTACGATGTGTTTTTAAGGTGCACTGATGAATAACAAGAGGTAAACTGAGATACTGCATTTGTTAACTTAAATGACCCTCTAAGCGGCTGTGTCGTAACCCCATGAAACAGGATCTGGTAGACTTGTGTTCTATAACTGATCTACAATTACCTACCTAGTTACAGATCTCCTTCATTTGACATATAACTCATCCAAGAAAACAATTAAGGGCATATCGCGCTGGCTTCTTGTCACTAGTTGAATAGGTGGCCATTTAAACAAGCCACGGCTCCATAACATTTGAGCACCTGCCCTGATATACACATGTTGCATCACTTTGTTCACTAGAGCAACAATATTTTTATCAAGAATTATGTTTCAGGTGGTGATACTCCCTCCGTAATGAACATGAGGCTGCCCTAGTGAAGCTATAAGAATCTAACAATGCAGACGCACAAACACCTTTTAACTGGGTGAGCAATGCGGCAATACATGATATCTAATCTTGGACAAGTTACCATGACATATGGACTCATATAACGCTTACGCAGTATTTATTTTATTATATAGCTGATTAGTAGCTACTTTATATAAGCAGAGTCCTCTTGGGAATTTAGAGCCAAGAGGTGATTCCATTATGCGGTGTAATCTGATTTCCAGGAATTAAGTTTGTTAATGTATTTCGGCGTATCAAGCCTTTTTCCGATGCATTCGACAGAGTATATAAGGAGACTGGTTCTTGAAGCTTCATTCGACAAGCAACACATGCTTATAAAGAACGAAATGATCTGAGATGCAGATACCAAAAACCTATGAAGTTATGGCCGGCCAAAATAATCTCCTAAACATCTGGGCTTGCAGCAGTGCTCCATGATGGATGAAATTGCCTTTATCAAGATATGTAATATTTAAGACCAAATATCACTGTTTAAATACTCGGAAAACAGCATTCTCATCAATGCAGCAATAATCAGATCTGATACCTTATACATAGCATATATATACCCTTAAGATCTGACTTAGGGCACCGTTTCTTATTCTGAGTAGCAATATCAACTAAGGCTGTCTACCTTGAAGCAAAGCTTTAGCCACAAATGCCGCCAGACGGCCCAGGAGATGTCCTTTGGCATCAATAACCAGCGTCTAAAAGCAGATTTATTAGAATGAATAGCAGAGATCAAAGCTAGCAATCAAACAAAAAAATTTTGTAAGAATCGTTGGTGGCAGAACTGAGAGTAAAAGTCAGCAAGGTCAAGCGAATCTTTAAGAAATTCAAAAACTATCGCAGAACTCCGCACTATTTCTACTGAAAACAAGAAAACAAACTTAAGTGCAAAGCTGAAAGTACTAACTAGAAGTGCATTAACCAATATCCGCATGAGTTATAAGTACCTGCATTAGGTACTAATAAAGTAAGTACACGACTACTAAGCATTGCCTAAACCTAAAAATTTTTCCGCAGTTTTCAGAACGCCTAAAAAATTAGCCAAAATTCCTAACAGGCGAGAATTTTCAGAAACAGATGCAGTGTTTCCCAACGAAGAGTGACAGGCTTCAAGTAACATGAACGGAAGGCGCTAAAAACTACACAGATACAAATTAATAAATAAACGGTTCAAAGCCTGGAATACGTATTTAATTAGAATCCGAAAGCTGGGATATCCTAAATATATAGCTACCGAAGGCTACAGTTTATATGCTATGTTAGAGACAGATTGTTACTACCAACGACGTTTCGTAGAGCAGTACAAAAGTAGTTAAGCATTCCATCGAAAGATCAACTAGCCATAAAATAAAACGAGCAATAATGCTACATAAACGTAAACAAACTCTCTGCCACTGCATATCATATGGGACGCATCTCGAAGGTGAGAGAAGAGAATAAATAACACCACTTAATAAGTTATGTGGATATTTAAAATTTACAATATAATTTACGAAGAACTGATTAAATAAATATTTCAAAATATAGCTAAATTATAACTCCGCCATGACCGGTCCCAATTCAGGAAGAACAAAGCGGAAAGTTAGAGATCGCAGCGGATTCTCGGTAAAACTTTCCAATATGCGCCTTATCATAGAATCGCCGTCATCGAACACTACACCGGCTCGGTCGCCGCGTGGGTTACTAAGGGCAATGCAGGCTATCGGGGGATTGAGATCCGCTACGAAAAATCGGCGATCAGAACCAGCACATCGTCCTTTGCCAGCCGGGGGTATCAGTTCCATAACGACTGAAAATCGACAAAACGATGACGAAGAAACCAGTCAGCAAGGCAGTCGCTGACCATTCTGAATGGAAGAGC